GGGGTGGGTTATTGGGGGTGGGTTAATGAGGGTGGGTTATCGGGGTAGTTATCGAGGTGGGTTATCAGGGTGGGTTATTGGGTGTGGGTTATTGGGTGTGGGTTATCAGGTGTGGGTTATCGGGTGGGTTATGGGGCTGGGTTATTGGGTGTGGGTTATTGAGTGTGGGTTATTGGGGTGGGTTATTGGGGGTGGGTTAATGAGGGTGGATTATTGGGGTGGGTTATTGGGGGTGGGTTATCAGGGCGGTTATTGGGGGTGGGTTATTGGGGATGGGGTCATCTCCCAAAGAGGCTTGCATGCTTCATCACGGCTTTGTTTGGGTTTAGTTATCTTTAGTTATATTTATTTATCTTTATTTTATTTTTTATCTCTATCTTTCTTTATCTTTATTAAGATATAAGACATTTAGATTTTAAAATCCTAGAATTTAAATATAAACTTAACATAATCATCCCAATAAACATAAAAAACCCTAAAATTTCAAGATAAAAATTTAACTTTTTTCTTTATTTTTGCCCCCCTTTGCCTCACAGGTATGAACGATTTCAGTTACCTGCACACCAACTGCTTCGAGATCACCGTGGAGCTTTCCTGCGACAAATTCCCGCACGCGTCCGAGCTGCCCCACGAGTGGGACAACAACCGCGAGTCTCTGCTGCTCTTCATGGAGCAGGTGGGGCACCCCCGGGGGGCTCAGGGGGCTCCCGGGGGGCTTGGGGGGCACCCAGGGGGCTCCCAGGGGGGATCGGGGGGCACACGGGGGGGGCTCAGGGGACAGCTGGGGGTTGGGGATGTGGCGCAGGGGACACCAAAGGCACCCCAGGGATGTTTGTGAGGAGGGTGATGGGACAATGGGGGCGCTGGGGAAGGGGGGTCTGGGGTCATGGGGACACTGGGGACACTGGGAAAGGGGGTCTGGGGTCATGGGGACACTGAGGAAGGGAGGTCCAGATTGGGGATTTGGGGGGGTTTGGGATATGGGGACACTGCGGTGGTCTGGGGGTGCTGGGACAATGGGGACACTGGGAAAGGGGGGTCCAGGATGGGGTATTTAGGGGGATTTGGGGGATGTGGGGACACTGGGGGGGTCTGGGGTCATAGGGACAATGGGGACACTGGGGAAGGGGATCTGGGGTCATGGGGACAATGGGGTCACAGGCAGGTCAGGGACAGGGAAGCCCCAGGGGTTCTCCATAAGCCTTTGGGGGGTGGGACAGGCTGGGGACACTGCCAGGAGGACACGGGCACGGCAAGGGGGGTCAGCAGGGTGACAGCAGGACACGGCTGTCCCCAAAGGCTGCGGGTGGCACTGGGACAAGGGAGGGACACTGCAGGGAGGACATGGGCAGGATGGCAGCAGGGTGGCAGTGGGACACAGCTGTCCCCAAAGGCTGTGGGTGGCACTGGGACAGTCCAGGGACACTGCCGGGAGGACACGGGCAGGGTGACAGCGGGACACGGCTCTCCCCAAAGGCTGCGGGTGGCACTGGCACAGGGGAGGGGACACAGCTGTGCCACCATCCCGACCCCCTCCAGGTGCACCGTGGCATCAAGGGCGTGGTTCGGGACGATGACACCGAGCAGGGCATCCCCAACGCCATCATCTCCGTGGATGGCATCAACCACGACATCCGCACCGGTACCGGGACACAACCGGGACACAACCGGGACACAACCGGGACACAGGGACACCGGGATGGCTGTGGGGTGGGATTTGGGGTGGGGGCAGAAATGGGATTGGGAATGAAGGTGGGATAGGGCCATGGATGGGATGGGATGGGAATGGGGTGATGGGGGTGGAGATGGGGACAGGGAAAGGAATGAGATGGGATCTGGGAATGGGATTGGGAATTGCCGATGGGGATGGAAATAGGATTAGACTGGGAAAGGGGACGGGGACAGGAATGGGACTGCGGATATGAATGGGATGGGGATGGAAGGGGGATGGGACTGGCAATGGAAGTGGGGTCAGACTGGGAATGGGAACAGGATTGGGGCTGGGAATGGGATTGGGGCTGGGAATGGGATTGGGGCTGGGAA